GCTAAGAATCTGTGTGAAAACTTGAAAGACAGAAAACTTCACTTATATAGCCACCCATATTGTAATGATAGCTCTGGGCAGCACACAAAACAGTAAAAACAACAGAAACCCCCAAACCAAAAAATAAAAATCAATAAAAACTCTATAAAAACTCTATAAATTAGAGTTATACTAGCTAGTGGTATATGTCTTACCAGTGTGATTTATTAATGTATTCTGTATTACTGTTTCATTGTTTTTATTATTTTTAATATTTTAAATAATTCTGTAGTCTGCCGAGAAAGCTGATTACGTAAGGATTTAAAATATATATGTAGCATTTTAAGATCAGGTGGTAATGTGTGTTGTGTTTAACAAACCCTGATAAATTATAGGAATACATTTTAGGTTTATTTTGGGGGTTCACTTAACTTGGTTCACACACTCTTCTTTATACAGGTAGTCCTCACTTACTGATGGTAATTGGGACTGGGAACTCCATCACTAAGCGACACAGTCATAAGGCGCAACTTGTGACTACACTGACTTACAACAGCAGTTCTGGCACTCCCAGTTGCTGTTGTTAGGCGAATCCCACATTGTTGCAGCATCCCATGGTCACGTGATCACCACTTGTGACTTCCTGCCAGCTTCCCCATTGACTTTGCTTGTTGGAAGCCGGCAGTGAAGGTCACAAGTGGCGATCACATGACTGCAACATCGTAATTGCGAGCTGGTTGCCAAACATCCAATTGCAACCACCTGACTGCAGGGACGCTGCAACGGCTGCAACTACAAGGACTTGTAAATACCCCTTGTTCAGCGCTGTCGTAACTTTGAATGGTCGCTGAACAAGTGAGCATTAAATGAGGACTATCTGTATAAATAACAAAAGTGTCAACTTATAACTGATATGCTGAAATAGCATGGCATTTGGCAACAGATTAATTAATTCAGGCAGTAATTTAAAACATATTTTGATACTATCCTGAAAATATAATTCTATTGAGTGAAAAGGATCATTAAAACAAACCAGGTTTCTCCATGGTTAAGGGAGAAAAAACATGTCTGAAATCTGGCTCCAGTTACAGTGAGAGCTGCCTCTCATGTATTACCAATCACCTTTCAATAGTCCCAAGACATGAAAACCCTTCCCCAGAGATCCACCTAAGTAGGATACCTCCTGCAGGAGATTTTCCTTGGGGTTTCTGCTTCTAAATCATGAACAACTTTAATTTATACTGACACATTGTGAACTGGAGTTAGAGAGTAGTGCTAGTCTGTAAGTGATATTAGAAGAAACGTAAGTTTGCGCCAAGCTGTATGTCACTGTTACCAACGTGGTTTCTCCGTAGCAAACTAGTTTGCCATGACAAAATTTATTTCATGAATTATTACAGTAATCATTATGGCAATTACGTAAAAATTGACAGATATCCTTCTTACACTGTTATTTCTCTAATATTCCATCCCAGATTATACAAGTCGTATCTTGCCATAGTCCATCATACATCATCAAATGTATGTCGCATTTAGATACTTTTGCCTTAGGTAAATTGTCTTGTATATGTAGACAAAATATTCAAATAATATAGTATAACATCATTATGTAGATGAGAAACTTCCCCTAAAGGCAGGTGTAAAATATGATAAAAATATAATATATAAAAAGTTTTTTTCCTTTTCTTTCTTTACAGATTGCTGAAACTTATTTTCAAGATGGAGAATGTATCCTTTTTAAGAATCCAACATTGAATGAAGACTGATAACAAAATGCAGACATATAGCTGTGGACTTTCAACTACAGCTCAATAAAACCAAAGTTCTTCTCATACTTAAGTATGCCCTATTTTGATTTATTAATGCTGGGGTGGAGATATATAAATATTAATTGTATTATGTAGGCATCGGATTCAAGAAGGCACGCTATAAAAGTTCATTGTATGTTCATTTAGAAATGAATGAACTTGCCCTGTTTCATGCATAATGATTTTGTCTTTCATTGTGGTAGCAAGATTTTTTGTTGTACTTCATATGACCCTGTTTTTAGACACATTACTTCTATAGAGCACACTACTTTCTTTCACATTTAAACGGCAGCAGGGAACTCACAGGCCATATAATTAATCATTCTACCTTCTGCTCTGTATCTCAACACACATATGTGTTTTGTAGTTATGCAGAGCCTTCATCTTGGAGGAGATTTTTGTCAGGAAGGTTGCTCTATTGCACATGCTCAAAAGCTTGCCCCTCACCATCCCCTCACTTTTTTGATTGCCATAGCTATATGTCTTAACAGTAATCTCTGCACTTCTTGGAAGAGTAAAGCTACTTAAAGTTCCTCTTTATTCATTCCTGCCACAATCAGTGGCCATCCTCTCTGGTATGGATAGGAAGATGGCATATTGTGTGTACCTGTGCTCATTCACAAAATGCTGTAGGAGGAATTGCTCCTTCTGCCTTCAAGCACCTGTTGGAAGAGCATTAACTGCAGAGCTAGCTTTACAGGAGCTAAGTGATCTTGTGGCTATTCCAGGCCACTGCTACATATGAAACAACAGAGTCAGCAACCACCATAGCATTCTCATTCTAGAGTTTGCCATATTCAGTTTTATTATGACTAAGAACCCTGGTCTTCCTATACTGTGCTTTTCCATGCCCTTGAACAATCAGAGCCATCACAAGCAAATGTTTCAAGCCATATGCATACCCAAAGGAGAAGAAGCAATTGTTAGTATTGCTGATTCTAGAACTTGCAAACTGAGTGTTGCCTATCAGCTCCAGAGCCTAATCAGCCATAGTGGTGAATTTGTTTGCACCCACATCAAATTTCCCTCCTATCATAAAAGAGGTGCTATTTTGAAAACATATTTATGAATGGAAGTCTGTGTCTGTATTTTCCTTTATTTTCCATTTAGATGAGAAAGCAATGAAGTTCATTTGGCTTGAACAGTTATATCACAAGCAATTACTTGCAAATCTTTCTTCTATTCAGCAGCAATGGGGTAAGCGTGTCATATAGTGGAAAATTATATGTCAGGTAAAACTTGAGAAATTTCTTAATTTTCTATTATATTGCAGCGGTTGCAGGAAGGTTACGAACCTTGCAGTATAACGACCTACAGTGTGATCTATGAATAGGACTTCATTTAAATCTTATTAATAAATGAGAGATTCTGATTAGACAGACAACACTCAAAAATATACTGTGTCATGTCTTTTTGAACACATTGAACTAACATTCACTGCGTTGGAAAAAGTATGTGAAGCACTAGGATAATAAGCTATCTCTAGGAGTAAGTTAAGGTAGGGATTCCATTCATTGAGGTGGCAATTGTGTGGATTGAGGGCCCTCCCCTATTAAAAAACACACGTATTAGTTACCACCATCAGAGTTTGCTTATCACAACATAGGTTTGTGGAAGTGAATTACATCCCAACCAAAAACATAATCGTGGACCTCACAAAAAAGATTGTTAGTGCTCAGGAGAATAGAAAGAGCACCAAACCATTGCTATAAACATTAGCCTCCGTGAACCCATAGTCAGGTGAATACTGTAGAAATGGAGAAAATTCAACACCATTGTTACTCTTCCCAGGAGTGGTTGTCCAACGAAAGGACCCAAAGGGGAAGAAGTATAATTGCAAAGAACCCCAAGATAATATAAAGAATCTGTAGATCACTCTTGCATTGTCTGATGTCAGTTTTCTTGAGCCTACCATAAGAAAAACACTGAACAAGAATGAGTGAATGCCAAAGAGAAAATTCCTGCTGTCCAGAAAGTATATTGCCACCCATTTCAAGTTTGCCAAAGTATACCTGGGTAATGAAGCTGGCTATGGAACAAGATTCTGTGAATGACTGAGATGAAAGTGCATTTTTTTTGGCATTAACAAGAAAGGTTATATTTGGAGAAAATAAAACCCTGCATTCCAACAAAAGAACATCATCCCTATCATGAAAACGATGTGAGTATAAGTATTTTGGTTTGAGGCTACTTTGCAGCCTCAGGACAGCTGGCAATCATTTAAGGAACAATGGGTTCTGGATTGTACAGCAAATTTTACAGGACATCAAGATACCTGTCAGTGTTTTGAAGCTTAAACCGAAGTGAGTCATGCAACATGCCAACAATCCTAAAGAAAAAAAGTAAGTCTACAATGGAACGGCTGAAACAGAAGAAATTTTGTCTTTTGGAATGACTGAGTCCTAGCCCTGACCTTAACCTAATTGAAATGCTGGAGCATGACCTGAAGTGAGCACTTCATGCAAGATAGCCCCAAACTATTACTGAGTTGAAGCAGTTCTATGAAGAGGAATGGATCAAAATATTTCCAAGCTGATGTGTACAGTAGGATTAATCAACAGGTGCAGGAAATATTTGGGTGAAGTCATTACTGCTAAAGGAAATGCAGACAGGGACTCAATCTAAAGTTTCATGTACTTTTTCTAATAAAGACAGTGAATGTTGGCTCAATAGGTTCAAAAAGACATGACTCAGTAATTTGTTTTGTGCATTGCTTGTTTAACCAGATGCACTTTATCTGTTAATGGGACTCCAGTGAAGCTCAGATCACATCGAAGGTCACAGCCTCCAGGATTATGGATAGTTTTAAAAAGGTTTGCAAACTTTCGCTAATGTACATCTTCTTTGTTGAAGATAAAGAGCTACATATTTCCTTAGTGCTGAATATTATGAGAAATACAGAGGCTGGGGGATGGGAAGTATCTCATATAATTTTCGTGAAAAGGGGCCTGATTCTTTTCAATTAGGCCTTTACTTTTTATGGTTCTGCTGTGATTAAAGAGCTACTATAATATTTGTTTTTTAATTTTTTTAAATTTGTATTTCTGAACTATTAAATATTTCACTTTTTATTAATATATATGTGCATTGATAATAGAAAAACAGTGGAAAGCAACAGCATGCAATGACATTCCAAGTCTAAAGAATTCTTCTAAAGATCTGAATAATGATGAGCTAGACAAACTTGCTGAATTTTGCACATCTCATCAAGAGTAAGTAATAAACATTATTTGTATGTAATAAAATTATAGAGTATTATTTAACATTATTTTTTCATAGTCCTACATGTAATAATTCTTTTATATCCAAAGATTGGTTGTGTCCAGTGAACTCATAACTTTGATATTTTTTCCCTTGGAATAGCAATACTTCCTTGTAACAATATGTATTGGTATTAAAATTATACAATGTGTGAAAAATAGCTTGCTATTTAGTGTACACATCTGCTGCTCAGAGGGGGAGAAAGTGTCCAAGACTATAATAAAAGTACTTTTCAGATTAAATACCTTCCCTTACTTTGCTTGTCTTATATTTGCAAAGTGTTGTTCTATGAAATAAATAAACAAGCAAACAAACAAATATAAAGACACCCTCAAGTCAACTCAGTTCCTGGTTGGTACATCAATACAACCATGTGGTTTTCTTGACAGTAGTAGAGAAGTAGTTTGCTACTGCCTTCTTTGACTTTGACTTAGATTGTTTTCAACTTCTTACTTTAGCCTACAAAACTGATTATAAGATGGCAAGGCATGAGACAGAGCTGCTCAGAGCAGGCAGAACCTTTCCAAAGGCTTTCTGAAGCATCGTGAGAATGGCCTGTGTGATTTGGAGAACGGTCCGAGAAGCCTTCTCACGAGGTTTTAGAAGGCCTCAGAAGTCTTCTGAAGCATTGCAAGAATAGCCTGAGCTATTTGGAGAACAGCACAAGGGGCCTCAGGAAGAAGGCCTGTCGTGGCCAGCAGCTGCCTCACATAGGGCCAGGCCAGGTGTGCCTCATTAGCGCGGGAGGAAGACAGCAAAGATCAGCTGGGGGAGGCAGGGCCACTGAGGGCAGGGTGGCAGGCAGGGTGAGCAGAGTGCAGGGTGGCAAGGCCAGCAGGGTGGCAGGGCGAGTGGAGCGCAGGGTGGTGGGGGTGGCTGGGCTTTGCGCTGGAGTGCTGGGGTGGCTGGCTGTGGTACGGGGCTTGAGATGGCACTCCTTTGTCTTGTCTGAAAATTTGATAATCATATTTTCTAACTCCTCATTCAAGTCTTTTACAATGAACAACACAGGACCTAGAACAGAGCCCTGTGCTATGCCACTCAACACTTCCTTTCATCTTTGTGTGAAGCTATTGATTTACACTCAGTGAGCACTATTGTTCAACCAGCTCTATATCCATGGTAGCGTAGTCCAGCCCTCATTTTGCCATCTTCTGTATAGAATCTAAACATTACTGAATGCTTTGCTAAAGTCAGGGTGCACTATGCCCACAACAACTGATCGTACTGTCAAAAAAGGAGATCAGGTTGGTCAGAATTCCTTCCCATTGTCCAGTTCACAATATAGATGATTCACTAAAACAGTTAAGCATACCAAGTTACTAGCTCAATTAAATAACTATAACATGCAGGTTAACATATCTTGCAGCATTCTGAGAATATAATAGCATGGAAACAAGAAATTAGATATACAGTATTGAGCTTAATTTCTTAGAGGAAGGTGAGTCTAAAAATAAACAAGGAAGCAAGTGGGTTCAATTGTGATAAGATCCAATAACATGATTCTATTTAGCATTCTTCTGGTTTTCATTTTTCAAATCCGAGGCTTCAGTAAAGATTTTTTTTTTAAAATAACCCAAGCCATGAAATTCCTTGCCATACTTGGGCCATTGTAGGAGGCAGTGTTTTATAAACATTCTGGAATAGTGATGAGATTGTTGGATTACAGAGCTCTGGGTTCAGTTATCCTATCAGCCATGTAACTCACTGTGTAATCCTTCGCCATATCTCTCTGCTTATCTTGTTTCACTGAATTGCTCATAAGAACTGCAGTCCGAGCTCCTTAAAGGAATAGGAAAGATACGAAGATAAGATGCAGATAAGAGTAAATGTGCAGGATGGTGGCTAGAAGAAGCTGTGTTTTCTTGCACACAAACCTAATAATGCAGCACTGGATTGCATTTTATATCATCTTGCCCATGTTTCCCACTGAAGTCAACAGGTGTATGACTCAAATATTTTGTCATTTATTTGCCATATATTTTTAATTTGTTCATAAAACATGAATGGTATAAAATACAAGGAGGTACAGTCAGTGTCGGTGCTAAGTCCTCTTCTGGTCATGATACCAGATAGCCTTGCCTTTTGTCAATATACTGTAATATATTCTGTCTGTGCACTGTCCCTTCTGTAGGTCAGTATTCATTGTCAACAGCAGTGATCTTTGGCTAATTCTTCTTGGTTGATTTTAGCTTAGGGCAATTTTTGAAAAGTTGGTATTTTTACATAAACCCAGGTTGCAAGGGTACTTCCAACATCTTGTATTCATTGCAGTACTTTTATTGCCATCTGGGTCATTAAGTGGCAATTTGTACAGTAATGACATTAGTATTACTATGCTCTGGCTGTATGCTTTAAATCTCTGTTGGTATAGATAGTATTTCAGTCTTGGAAATCCTGTGCTAATATTAGAACATGGAAAAAACTGTTCTGATGTGTTCTCTAGTTTTGATGACGTTTGTTATGAAGAATATTTTGGTGAGAGCTGCTGTTTATTTTTAATTTTCTTATTTTTTGGGGTTACAGGCCACTTGTCTCCAGAAGCAAGGTAAGCTGTGATTTTTTTTTCATGGCATAGTTTTGTTGTTAACGATTGGGTGTCCTCAAACATGCTAAATGTACTGAATTTACTTCCCATAACACATGCAGCATGAACATAAAAACAAAGGGTATTTATAGTATAAATGTTATTTTGTGTTTCAGCTAATAAATAAAGAAATATCCTTCAGATGTGAACAGTTCATAAGTTTAATGGCATCTGAAGATTTAAAAGAACAAAGTACTTCTACATGGGATTCAGGTATCTCTCCTGTGAATTATTTGATCTTAAATTACACAAAAATGTCATTATTTGAAAACTATTCATTTGGAAGAATAATAAACCTTTTCTAACCAGAATAAGAAAAAGTAATTATATCTTGATGTCTAATCATTTCTTGTAGAAAAAAAGACTATACAGGCAGTAGCTTTAAAGAACACTCTTCATCTTCCATTATTGAAAATTACAGGAGAAAGCTGCATAGTTATTGATGAAACTGGCATGAAATTGAAAAAGAAAGATGATGGAAGTTATTATTGAGTATTAGCATGCATAGGTGTCTTCCTGAATGTATTTTTGCATGTCATGCCTTGACTCACCCCATATTTTAGGTTTCTCTGCACCGCTGCAAGTGGTAGCAGTGATCAGGATCTAGCCAATTTCATAATCAGGAACAGAAATTCAAATAATAAAATAGATATAGCTACAACTGAATTGTATTATATCAGGAGGTTGTAATCCTGTAACCACTTACATGAGGGTAATGAAAGTTACCGCTCAATAGACGGTATTGGATTACAGGTAGTAATCTACCTGTACTATTCGTTCAGTGACCGTTCAGTTACAACAGTGCTGAAAAAATAACTTTACAGCCAATTTACGACCTTTGCAGCATCCCTCAGTCACATGATCACCATTACAGTCAGTATGTGTTGTTCTGTGCCTGACCTGTGGTTTTTCTTTCTTTCCCCCTTGCAGAGCAGAGGGATTGCAAGAAAGTAAGCTGTTTGCTCTTTTACATATCGAAACCAATGTGATCTTGCCTGCAACCTGGGGCTGGGAGCTGTGGGCACACTACGCAAACAGCTTATAGTACTCTCTTGAAATCTCTTTCTCTCCAATCTCTCTGTTCTGCAGGGGGTGGGTAGAAAGAAAAAAAAAGCAAGCAATTTCTGTGAGCAACCTCTCCTTTGCCTGATCCTTTCTGGCTGCTAGTTCCATCACATTGCTCTCAATGTGTAGGGGAGCAAACAGCTTACAGAACTCTCTTGAAATCTCTTTCTCTCCAGTCTCTCCTCTCTGAGGGGGGAGGAGGGGAAAAAGCAAGCAATTTCTGTAGGCAATGTCTCCTTTGCCTGACCTTTTCCTCCCTCCCTTGCGGGGCAAAGAGATTGGAGAGGGATTTCAAGAGAGTAAGCAGCAGGAAAGGGTCAGACAAAGGAGACATTGCCTACAGAAATTGCTTGCTTTTTTCTCCCCTCCCCCCTTGCAAAGCAGAAAGATTGGAGACAAAGGAATTTCAAGAGAGTAAGCTGTTTGCGGAGCACATCCGCAGCTCCCAGCCCCAGGCTGCAATGTGATTGCATAGCTTTCAATGTGTACAGACAGTAAGCAGGCACTTGAGCATTCCAAAGGGCAAGGGAGTGGTTAGGAGGCAAATGAACACTGAAGGTGTAAAACTGACTACAGGTAGTCCTCAAGTTACAACATTCATTCAGCAACCCTTCAAAGTTACTTGGCAGCTTGCCTGACTTGATCCCAGGGCATTTCAAACCCCTTGGCTATCTCCCCCCCCCCATTTCTGCCCTTTTGGCCCCCTGCACTCCATGGCGCCTGCCGCTCTGCACTCCGCTGCCCCCAACTGACCTTCGTTGTCTTCCTCTTCCCACTGCTAACCAAGCATGCCCAGCCTGGTCCTTCGCAAGGCAGCTACTGGCTGCACAAGGCTTTCTTCCTGAAATCAGACACAGCAGTTTCCTTGCAAGATCTGGGAAAGAAGGCCCCAGGAAGAGCCAGCTGGCCACCCCTCGTCAGCAGCAGGAGCAAGAGGACAGCAAAGGTCAGCTGGGGCAGCAGAGCATAGGGCAGCAGGGGCCTCAGAGTGTAGGGTGGCTGGGCTGGGATGGCTGGGGCTTCCCAGGGCAGCTGCGGCTTCATGCTGTGCTGCTGGGGTGGTTGGGGTTTCCCAGGATGGCTGCAGTTTCATGCTACACTGTTGGGCCGGGTTGGGGCAGCTGGGACTTCATGGGGTGGTTGTGGCTTCACACCATGCTGGGGCAGCTGGGGCTTCCTAGGGCAGCTACAGCTTTGTGCCATGCTGTGGCAGCTGGGACTTCCAGGGGTGGCTGGGCATTGCGCTGCATTGCAGTTCAGGGGTTTCTCGCAGCCCCAGAGCCGTAGCAGATCAAGAAGCCCCTGAGCCACAGCGCATCCAGCGATTACAAAGTTGCACAGTTCTGGGGCTGCTTGCCATCCTGCAAGGCAGGGTGCAGGGTGGCCGAAAGGGCAGAGTTGGGGGGGAATAGGTATTTGGGGGGAGTTGAAGTAGAGCCAGTCCCTTACCTTGGAAGGATTGAGGCTCTGGGCTGAGAGGGACCAAGTCGGAAATGGCTTGGATTGGGGTGGGTCCTTGTCTAACAACTGGTGGGAATTGGTTAATGATGGCAACGGGGAGTGCCAGGATTGCCATCGCTAAGCAATGAGGTCACTTGACACTGAGCTTTATAACCGCATCGCTTAGCATCAGAAATTCCAGTCCCAGTTGCTATCGTAACTCAAGGACTGCCTGTAGTCTTGTCTCTTTCCAACTGGAAAGCACAGTTATGGTCACATGATTTCCCACTTAGCAACCGCTTCGCTTAGCAGCAGAGTTGCCGGTCCCAATTAGGGTTCTTAAGCGAGGACTACCTGAATGCTGTAAATTGCAGATTTTAAGCCTGACAAGGGATAATTTCCAAATAATTATTTTCTCTGCTCATGCATGTAACTGGAGGCTTCAGTACAAGAGAACCTCTAGTGTCTATGATTCTTGTGGGTCAGTGAGACCTAGCCTTCTTCTGGCCACCTCAGGGAAAAGCTTTATTGATAGAAAAGGGAAATGGTCTTTGAATTGACTAATCAGGAAGTGTCTATTAAACATCTTTGTATTGCCATGTCTTCATCAATACAATTGGAATTATTGTGTCAGATAACATGTTCTTTGTGGTATCTCTCTGTTAACTGTTCATCTGATACTATTTTCAGTAAAGTTACATATAGAGATACAAGTCACTCCCTATGCTGCCCTTTTATACAGAGGTCATTTCAAACATTGTAGTCATGTCAGCAAACCAGTCAAGCACTGTAAGTGAAACAGTATAATTTCAATAGCACACTGTATGAATCCTTTTTAATAATACAGAAGTTCCACAAATTAAGTGCTGTCAAATTCAGGTCTTGGGGAATATCTTAATAATTTCTATTTGTCAGTAATGTTTTGCTTCCTTATGATTTTTAGGTCTCTCTTCATGTTAATGGCCTCTTACAAGTGTCATTAGTAATTAAGTTGTATAAATTTGTAGGAGGCCTCCTTGGCAGATGTAATCAGAGATGGGTTACACATAGTCCCTGAGCTACTTTTATGTTGCTATAACCACAGTTGCAACAAAAAGAAAATCAGTGGCACATTTTCAGCTATTTTGAGCTGGGAAACACATGAAAAACCCTGAAATAGATTTAACATAATTTTTAAAAACAAGACAGGAAAAAAAATTAAAACCCAGGTCACAAGTATGTCATAGGTTCACCTACATAATCAGACTGTTCTTTATAGCCCTTGTTTCCCCCAAAATGTCCAATGTGATTCCTGGCATTAAAAGATTGTCCTCTCCAAGTATAGATAGTGCATCCGTTGCAATAATACCTTTGCGATTGGAAATCAGTAAGTGGAGCCCAGAAGAGAATGCAGTGAGACTTTTTTTCAGTTTAATATATGACTGTAGCATAGTCATGTCATTCATAAAAGTGGTGAGTAGAGTTTCAGATTTTTTCTTACATAATCTGGTTTTTAATCTAACTTTGTTAGTTGGAAATTGTCAAAAGATCTTTTTGTTTTCTTCACAAGAGCATAGTTACAGTTGTCATAATATCTGTGATCTTCTAAGAAGATGGTCTAATATTTATAGGCACTTTTTCACATATGTTGCTCTAACTTACAGCACAGTTTTTCTAAATGTAATGTCTACATTGAGCATATTATTTCACCTCTGAGTTTTTATGGTTATGCTTTACTGTTGAACTCTTGTTTCTTTCATAATTATCAGTTTGTTTTTTTATTAATAAACCTTGAGTTTTAAAACAAATAAGTAAGATTACATTTGACTGATAGAAAATTTTAAATTTTAATTCCAAACACATCCTTCAGTACATAGCACCACATTTGTCCTATAGTATATAGTATAATAGTTGACTGGAGAAATTGTATCTCCTACAATAGTTTGGGGGCAACTGTGGAAAATCCAGTAGTGAAAATGTATTAGGTTTCATACATTTATAAACCTTAATGCCTTTAAAACATTTTCTTGAAATGTGTACAGGGATTAACATTTTCTACAGAAAGGCAAAGAACAGCTATAAAATTCAGCCAATTTTTAGAAGGGAAATGTGAATAGGACACTTCAGATTAAAATCTCACATTCAGAACTCACATATCAGCCATAGCAAAATGTATCATTTCAGTTCTCCTCAGCTTGAATGCTGTAAACATAGATCGTTTTTGTGTTTTTCTGTTAATAACATCTCTTAGAACAGGGATGGGGAAGCTCTGGTCCTTGGATTAATTTGAGTTATCTTGTCCATGTAGTCTGTGGAGCCTTGAAAAAGGTTCCTTCCCATCATTGCTGTTCCTCTCGCCTCTTTGGTATCCTACTAATTTAACCATTTAAGGATATGAAGAAGAAAAGTCTGGATTTTCCTCTGTTACATAAGTTGCAGCTGAGTTCTTGCTGATTTGTCTGCTATGTCCCTTTATTCATGTTGGAAAATTATTCTGCAAATAAGGAACTTATATGTTCAGTTTTTTTGTTTTTAAGTGCAAGTTAAGAGAACACACTTATAACTGTGGTGAACTTATTTTTACATTATACAATATAAGCTCATTTCCATATGTATTTCTAGAGACAAACAGCCCTTGATTTAGTTCATATATGGACAAGGTTGTGTAGTTAATCAGAAGTAGCAACCTAAATTGATACATTGGATGGAATTGCCTAGCTCTGCCTAGTTTATTGTTCTCTTGCTAATAAAATAATAATAGTGCAAGATTATACCACTGAACATGCTGCTCAGCTATTTGGGAGACATCTTGTGGTAACTGGCATAGAACTATTGATTTCTCTTGTTCTGCTTCTGTCTTTACTGCACAAGCATTCTAATGAGTTACCTACATATTACATTATGAGCAACATAAACAGTGGTTCAAACACTGGATTCAAACTATACATTCCAACATCTTACTTTAGGCACAGCTTGCATAAACATTAAGATAACACTCCATGCAAAGTTAGGCTCAGTTATTTTAATGGAATCTGGATATACTGAATCTCTGTTCTAATCTTCCAGATATTTGAAAGTTTTTTCTGGTAAAAAGAATGATTTGTACCTTTCAGTCATAATTATTGTAACTAACAACATATTGTAGAAAAATATCATTAAATACTTATCCTTTGACATTGTTTCTCTTCTCTAGAAGTATTAGTGCAGGAAAAGTCAAGGAGGGTTGTTTTTAGAGTGGATAGATCTAAAAAAAGCCAGCGTGGGCAGAGTCATCTTTTTCTTCTACCACTCCATTTTCTCTCCTCCATCTTTAGCTATCCCCAGCTCTGTCAAAATCAAGACAGGGACAGCTTCTGAAAATGCCTATCCAAACAGATGAGTGCTTTCTACATGCTTTGCTCTCCCACCTCCTCCCACTCAAGCAGAGATGTCTGTTGGAAATGCAGGTTGCATTGTCTGGACTTTCAGTTCAGGTGTCAGAAGAACTTATGGAATATGCTACTGGTTTAGAGCTATCTGTATCCCTGTTCAATAGAAAGAGGGAATTAAAAACATGTTACCAAAGCTAAATCAAAACTTAGAAATAACTAACAAATTGTATCTCTGCTGAGACAAAGCGTGCTTAAGTTCTAGCCATTAACTATTTCACTTTATTTACTAAAGATGACTGATGTTTTATACAAACCAAAAAATTAGTAGAACAGAGCCACTGCTGCCAAGGATTATTTGATCTAGCCTTACTGGGCAATGTTATCAGATTACTGATGTTTTGTTGTTGTTTTTTCTTCCCTCAGTGTTTTTCCCTCAGTGTTTTTGTGCTGAATCACCTCTAAATGCTTCAATTCTTTTTCTGTTTCATTTAGATACTCAGAGCTGGCCAAGTATTGAAGCAAAGAAAGAGAACCATCACAAAGAAAGAGAGAGAAATGAAAGTTTCCAATCTGAAAGCAGTTGTCTGATCAAGGAAGCAGAAAGGCTTCAGCTAACTGTGAGGAAACACCATCTCAAGGAGGAGCTCTGCAGTACTGAACCCACACTGAATCAGCCATTTGTTCTATCCACAGAGACCCTGGACACGCCTTTCTCTCAGTGTTTATCTTTGAGGGATGCTAGTGAAGATGACAGTCTGCAGCTAAGGAAAGAACAGTTCTCTCAGGATGGAGCAAAAATAGAAGCAGCAGCTGAGCAGCCTGCAGCAAAGTGTCCTAGTGAGCCAATGGTAGACGCATTAGTTTGGACAGATGCTGATTATATACCTCCTGATCTAATTGCCACAGATGAAAATATTCCATCTGAAAGAAACATACTCAGGACAAAACGCTGTTCTAGCTCTGTGGTGATTGCCAGCAGCCAGTTGGAAAGCAGCATATTAAATCAGCCGCAGCAGCAGCAACAGCCTGATTATGAAAATAATAGGAAATCTGTGCAAAACCAAACACCAGGCATTAGTGGGAATGTGCAGTTTGACACTGAGATGCCCAAACAGCCTAGTGTTGTATATGAATGGATACAGGAAGAAACAACAGTACTGGAAGAGAAATGTGAAAGTGAAGAACCAGAAGGCTTCTTTGACCAGATTTTAAATGGTAGCATAAAAGTTAGAGAAGGAGCCCTTAAATTTCTAGAAACTCAAGAGGATTCTGAAATCCTTCCACATATTCCATCTGAACAAGCACTTTATTCTTCATTGGAAGATTATTCACCAGATGAAAGCTTTTCTTCACTTGATGAGCTTGCAAAGCGAATACAGATTGCAGAGGTAAATACTGAAGAAAAAAGACCCTTTGATTTATGTTTGCACTGTGTACCATTGCTATAATTATTTTCTGTAGCATGTAAAACAGCTGAAGAGAATGTTTATGATACTTGTGAGACTTTCCAAGTGTTGAATATGCACTTTGGAAAAAATAGATAGATTTCAGTGGATAAAAATGAACTGGTGATTTCTTGATTTGCCAATGAAAAAGAACTGTATATGGGGAGAAGGGAACTATGTTACGTAATTTTGAAGGGTGAAATGGTATTAATTGTCTATAACTGCTGTAAAGAAAATTGGAAGTCGCTTCTTTAAGTATTTTGTTTTTCTTTTTCTTTTTTTCTCACTTTCTTTTGTTTTTAACACTTTTTTCTTTTTCTTTCTTTCTTACTTTTCTATTTTTTTATCTTTATCTTTTAACTTTGTAAAACATTTCTTTAATAAAAATTATTTTAAAAAAGGAAAAAATAGATTTCCACCTAAAAAGCAGACATATTGGCATATATTATTTTTCTTAGAATTTTCATGAATTTATTTAGTCAAACACACACATGCATATACTGTATATTTTAAAAAGGTGTGACATTTACAATAAATAGTCATAATAATTGAGCGAGAACTAGAGGATAGCCTTCCTCATGCTTCATTTGTAAAAATATGTTACTATTTCTGGTCGCAAAAATTCTGAGATTCCCCAGATTCATATTTCATTTTTATTGCTATTCTCTACTGTTCCTGTAAAGAAAAACAATTACTTATGGTTAAAAAAAAGTTTTGTTTTGTTTTGTTTTGTTTTATCACTTTCTGATAGGATAGATGCACCTGCTACCTGAAAGGCCTGAGAAATTCTTTATACTGCTTTTCCAAAGAATCAGATATTAACATGTTATTCTTTCATTGCTGGCTGATCTTATTGAGGTCACTTCATGCTTTTGGTAATGTTAACTGTGTCTCCTATGAAAGCTACACTTTAGGAATGACACATTGATCTGTAAAAAGAAGAAAAAAAACTTGTATCTTTTTTCCTGTCAAAATCCTTCTGAAGGCATTCAGGTGTTTTTCTAATAATAAATAAATAAGACTGCTTTATTTCATTGAACTTTTCCCCAGAATCACTGGTTTGTCTGTCTGTCTATTGCAAATGTTTTAATGCCACTTAAATCAATTCCTATCTTCCTAAGTGGATTACAACCATTTGTGATAGATAGATAGATAGATAGATAGATAGATAGATAGATAGATAGATAGATAGATAGATAGATAGATAGATAGATAGATAGATAGGTAGGTAGGTAGGTAGGTAGGTAGGTAGGTAGGCAGGCAGGCAGGCAGGCAGGCAGGCAGGCAGGCAGGCAGGCAGGCAGGCA